ATTCCCAAAGCCGCTCTCCCCTCTTGCTGCCCAGCCAATGGTGCATCATCCAATTTCTGCCTGCAAAAGGGTATTTGTCTTTGGATTCATGTCGAGAAATTCCCCGTGTTTGCACTCTGATTGACTATGGCTTCTCTCTGGTTGTAGATTCCAAATTTAGCTCAGATATTCCTTGTTGGCTTCTATGAGGAAAGGGAATTTGCCCTCTATGTATCTGCCATTTCAAATGAACTCAAAATTCCCGTTCGGTAAAGTAAAAGCTCTCCTCTTTTTCCCCATTCCTGACATTGCTGGTTCCTCTGTTTGCTCTAAGCTTTCAATCTACATGGTTGGCTTCTGCATTGCTGATGATGTGTATATTAGATATTTGCGAGAAGACAAACCTCATGGTTCAGCCGGTGGGTTGTATCACTTTAGAGATTTGATAATGGAGGAGAACCCGGTGAGTCTTTGATGCATCTGAGTTGTGTCCTGTTTCCTTATTGCAGCATTACTGTTGCCTGTGGTATCATATTTTGACATTCATTCTGTTTCTCTGCAGTCTCACATCTTCCTGCTTAACTGTGATGTCTGCTGCAGTTTCCCGTTGGCAGAAATGCTCGGTATATCTTGTAGATTCAATCCCTTGAATCCAATAATTTGGATTTAATATTCTTATGATATCTTATGGAAATGGCTTTTAAAGATCGATACAATAGGATTTATATATGAAAACTCAGGTTTCATGTGCATATCTATACACTCATTATTTGCTGAATATAATAACAGACATGAATCTGTTAGTGTCTTTTTTTCGTTAATATTCGTGGTTTGGGTGGTCCTTACTGCTTTTTTTTTTTCACAGAGGCTCACAAGGGGTATGGAGGAATGGGAACTCTTCTTGTGATAAAGGTTTTTGATAAGACATTAGTCTGACTTTTTGTTTCTGGTGCCTGGTTAAGTTGCTTCTAAATATGTTTGACCTAATGTTGTTTCTAGGTTTCTCCCGAGTCAGCCAGCCAATTCGGGGAGCTGGTAGCTGATCCAGTTACTAATGAACTGCTGCATTACACTGAGAAACCCGAGACTTTTGTATGTACATCGTTGAGACTACTGAATTAATAGCACTTTTCTCTTCATCATTGTTTTTTGGCCCTAATGCTAAGTTGGAATGCAGGTCAGTGACCGTATAAACTGCGGTGTTTATGTATTTACTCCTGAAATTTTTACAGCCATACAGGATGTTTCCTCTCAAAGAAAAGACAGAGGTAAGCCTTAACATAGGTCTTATATGTGGTTTGTATGTAAAGACAAAGGCAGACTCAGAGCTTTGTTTTTTCGTTTCTAGCCATTCATCTTTGAGGATTCTTCTCCATTTTTGTTTCTTTGTTACATGTAGTAACACTACGACGTGTGTCGAGCTTTGAAGCCCTTCAACCAGCCACAAGGTTCGTCAGCATCTCATTTATTCATTTCATCGCTTGCGAGATTTCACTGTCTTTAACATCTCTGTTTTCCTTAAAATAGGATCCCGACCGATTTTGTGAGACTGGATCAGGATATACTCTCACCTCTTGCTGGGAAGAAGCAGCTATACACATACGAGACCATGGATTTCTGGGAGCAAATCAAATCTCCCGGGTATGTCCCACCCCGAAAACATTTTTTATGCTGAAAAAAAAAGGATAGAAAATGGCTCTGTTGACTCATTTTTTCGGTGTTATGCGTTGATTTGAGGCAGAATGTCGCTCAAGTGTTCGGGTCTTTATCTTTCTCGATTTCGGTTGACATCTCCTCATCTGCTGGCTAGTGGGGATGGAACAAGGAGCGCGACAGTTATTGGCGATGTTTATATTCATCCCTCTGCAAAAGTACACCCAACTGCAAAGGTAAATTTATTTCTGAGGCATTGGTTTGTGGGTGTGGCCGAATGCAAGTTCTTCCCGTTTTACCGCTTGAGAAAGTTAATGTTGTATATTAACAGATCGGTCCAAACGTTTCGATCTCTGCGAATGCCCGTATCGGACCAGGTGTAAGGCTTATCAACTGTATCATACTTGACGATGTCGATATCATGGTATGCATTCTCTTATATATTTTATAGATTCAGAGGTAAAAGTTTGCAGGAGTTTCGACTCTTTTGCGGCTTACTTTTTTTTCCCAGGAAAACGCTGTCGTGACAAACGCAATCGTCGGGTGGAAATCTTCACTCGGAAGATGGTCCCGTGTCCAGGCATGCCCCTCCCCCCTCTTCTGTTCATCTTCTCTCCATCCAACCAAAACTTAAAGAACTTGATAATGTTCTGTCTGCTTGCTTGTTCACAGGCCGAAGGACACTACAGTTCCAAACTCGGGGTCACAATTCTCGGTATCTCCTTTGTTTTGCTTCGTGTTTTTACGTTATTCATCGTCGGTTTTGTACTAACTACCGGCATTCGGTTTTTTTTTCCTCAGGAGAATCAGTGGCGGTTGAAGACGAGGTAGTTGTAACCAGCAGCATTGTTCTTCCCAACAAGACGCTGAACGTCAGCGTTCAAGATGAGATCATTTTGTGATGAATGTCGTCATATTACCATGCAAATGTACCATTTTGTCGGATTCAGTGCTTTTTTGTTGTTGGCGTTAGAATCACTTGAAAAGCAATTTCACATGTTGTAACCGATATTTTGAAGGTAAGAGGCGCTTGTTTTTATCATTTTTACTGTCTTTTTTCAGTAAATTATTATTATTATTCTTTTATTTATTTCTGACACAAATTATGTCTGCGTTATATCTTCGTAGGAGATTTGGTCTTACGTTTATCATAGGACAGGCTGGATTTTCGGTCGGAACTCGTGGGTTATGTTTGAGTTGGCAATACATCTTTGTCTAAGGATCCTTTTGGCACTATATATATATATATATATATATATAAAAGAGATACTGATCATGGTCCATACAAACAAATTGTCTTTTTTTATACAATAACTATACTTTTAAAATATGAATATTAAAATTATAAAAACATGGCTGATATCTCTCGAGAGTGACTCGGTTTTAAAAGAAAAATAGATTTGGTCACTAGAATTCATTGTTTTTGGGACCTATGCATGAAAAAAAGAAACTTAATCTGTAAATTGTAAAACAAATTTTTAAAGTTTTCTCTTCAATACCAGGATTATTATAAATATATATTTTAGAAAATATACTCCGTCCGTTTTAATATAAATATCGTTTTAGATTTTTTTCACAGTTTTTTAAAAAATTTAAAAAAGTCATATATCTCTTATAATGATATACAAATCAATATTCTATTAAAATTTGATATTTTTAATTAAAGATAAAATTAATTTTTTTATTAAAAATCATATAGAAATTTAAAATGGTAGTTATTTAGAAACAAAAAATAATCTTTAAACAGATATTTACATTGAAATAGAAGTATTTTTTTAATTTTTCGATAACAAAGAAAGATATTAGAAAATAAAGGATTATAAGATTTGGAAAAAAAAAATACTTGTCAAAGGGGGTTATTTTGGTGGATTCGAGCAAAATCTCTGAAAACTTTATCTGACCGCTCATGTACTAAAACGAAGGAAAATTCCATGTCAAAGATTTGTAACAATCGCATTAGACACTGACAAAAGATTATAAAATCCGAGAGATTCGGTCGGAAGATTTGACGAAAGAGTATTTAAGTTTCTGACAAACAGACATCGCAAAAGTCATGTCACTGATCACATAGATCTTCCCCCCAAGATCTTAACAAACAAGATCCGATCTTCCCAATCTCTTTAATCCCCACTTTTTCCTTTCTCTTTCTCTATCATATTTATGCCCATTGACCTAACTTCTCGACTTCCCTTGACGAAACCTTCTGTCCTACGAGAAACCCTTTTGCTTTTGAGCTCCCTCCCTCAGAGAGCGTATCCATGGCAGTCGGCGAGGTTATGATGGTGGAGAAGCAGACGGAGGTCTCCGGCGGAGATTCGCCGGTTTCTTCGCCGGAGTTACACGTCCTCGCCGTCGATGATAGTTTCGTAGATCGGAAAGTCATTGAGAGGTTGCTTCGGATTTCAGCTTGTAAAGGTAACCGAACGAATTGAAGTTTTTAATTGTTTCTGACTTTGTTGTCTATTTTATGAACTGGGTTTGGTTCTTGGAATTGATTTTTTGTTTTGAATTTGCAGTGACGGCTGTGGAGAGTGGGACTAGGGCTCTGCAATACCTTGGATTAGACGGAGAGAATGGAGCTGCTGATCTTATGGTACGATACTGTTTTTTTCCGGTTCTTGAAATCTGTTTGGCTACTGAGAAAATTTTGATGGGTAAAAACAAGAAACCGATATTGCATTTGATGATTTGGAAGAACGAAATGGTGGAGAGAGAGAGGCTTGAACTTGAACACCTCTCATTATCATGGGAAACTTCTGTTTGGCTACCTGGAAAGTTTTTCCAGGGAAAATCATAGACCACATCTCTCTCCCTTTGGTTACCAAGAAATCTCTCTCTTTTTTTGTGAGCTGTTGAAACTTATTAGAAAACATATGGGTTTTTTTAGTTTCATTGATTTGCGTCGTGTTTGAGTGCAGGATTTGAAGGTGAACTTGATAATGACTGATTACTCGATGCCGGGGATAACCGGGTATGAACTTCTCAAGAAAATCAAGGTAAAAACTTTTTTTGTCGGAAATGTCGTAAAATGAAGAGAAAAAAAAGCATTATTCAGCATTTACAGAGGAAGAAATCTGTGTGAAAATTTTCTCAGGAATCATCGGAGTTGAAGGAAATACCGGTGGTGATAATGTCGTCGGAGAACATACTACCTCGGATCGTAAGGTGAGTTCGAGATCTGTCTGTAAATCCATGGCGGAACTGTGACTGTGGGTGAGATTTTCATTACCAAAAAAAATCTTTTTTGTTTTGCATTTGTCAGATGTCTGGAGGAAGGAGCGGAGGATTTCCTGGTGAAACCGGTGAAGTTATCTGATGTGAAGCGATTGAAAGAATCTATCGTCAAAGGGACAGCCAACGTCGAACATGAAATGTCTGATCCATCTGCTGCTTCGCCATTAAATTCAGAACCCGTGGTTCTTGGTTGAAGACACACATATATACATATACATATATATATATATATATGTATATGTATATGAGGAAGATGTTATCTAACTTTCTGTCAATAGTCTGAATGCATGTTTTGAAGCGTTATGTCAACGATGACGATAATTTTTGTTCTTAGCCGTTGCGAGCATGAATGGTTCTTGAAGATTTTATATCATCTTACATCGTTCTATATGCTAACAACAATCTTTTGGTGTTTTTGTTCAAACCCTAAAAACATGTAACAAAGTTGGAGTTTGTAAATTTTAGGAGGATATTATCATATAAACTCGCACCTTTTTTTTCTTCAAAATTTTAATTTTTTTTAACCGAAGAATAAAAATATAAAAAGGATTAAATATAAAAACGTGATGGAGTTTGTGGTAAGAAAAGGGAACCGAGGATATATCATTTTTACCCTTTTAGTACTAAGACATGGTTTTGTAATTTATCCAACACATCCTTTGTTATCAAATAAGACGTTTTTTTAATAAAAAAATTGATATTATTGGTGAAATATAAGTATTTTTTGTAATACCCATTGATTTGTTTTAATTTTTCACCAAAAGAAAAAGATTTTCAAATAATAATTGAATAATTACATGTCGCCTTCTGATTGGCTCAATTCAGACGTTGGAGAAGACCGCGGGAATTACCTTCGTCTTATCCAGAAAAATCTCAGAACAGAAACACACGAACACTTGTCTCCCATGGCGTTCTCAGCGACTCTCTCTCATCTTTCTTCTTTCTCGAGCCTCTCTTCTTCAATTCCCAGGCCTTACAAAAGACTCGCATTTCGGTCCCTGCCCAAATTGACCGTCAAAGCAGAGGCAGAGACAGAGAAAGAGAAGACAGCCACACAGGCAAAGCCCGAGGGTGAAGCTTCCACCACTGCCGCCAAAGCTCCGAAGAAACCGGTTTACTCGAGTCGGTTCTTTGCTTTCTTTTGCTTTTGAATTCGATTTCAGAGATTCGATCATTGTTCGAAATCCCCCCTTTTTTCCTGGTTTCCGTGGGTGAGTGAAGGGGCTGCAGAGGCTTTGATTGTTGTCTGAAATCTCTTTCTTTGGATTTTGTGGAGGAACCCTGAAGTAGAATACGGTCGATTTCGTTCTGGGTTTTTCGAATTCGCTTGGGGAGATTTGATAGCTGTTGAAAGGTTTCTTTTTTTCTTTCTTTCTGATTTCTGTTTCTGTTTGCATTCTACAGCAAGAGATTTTGATTGTTGTTAGTTTTCTTCCTTGAATCTATGTATTGCAGAGATTCAAGAGTAGTTGAAAGTTCATTTTCCTGTCTGAATATTGATGCAGAGAGCTTGATAGTTGTCTGAAACCACTCTTTGAATCTCAATTGCAGAGAATTAATGTTCCCTGAAATGTTTTCCCTTAGATTTTGCGGGTGACAACGAAGAGTCAGTCAAGGTTTTCTCTGTGTCTGAATTCAGTGTCATACATTTCTCAGTTGTCTGAATTCCATGTGGAACAGTGAAGAAGGGACAGATCGTTCGAGTGGACAAGGAGAAGTACCTCAACAGCGTCAACGTATGCTGAAGTTTTCCATTTGATTATTCACCAATAAACAAAACTGTTCTTCAATCTGTTCTGAGCATCATTTCTTTGTTCTTGATGTCTCAGTATCTATCCGTCGGTCATCCGCCTTACTACAAAGGCTTGGATTACATCTATGAAGATCGCGGAGAGGTATATCTATAATCTATACTGATTTGAAATCTTTATGAAACTGCTGCATTCAAGATTCGGGATTTCGGATAAAAACACAGCACAATATGTTTTGCCAAACATTCGCCGCACGCAGGTATTGGATATCCGCATTTTCGAGACGGGGGAGTATGCACTTGTAAGTTTTTCAGACATTTTGTACTGAGCTGTTCCGGTTCATATGAGCTATGTGTACTGAAAGGGTGTCGAGATTATAGGTCGGATGGGTCGGAATCCCGACCGCGCCAGCGTGGCTACCGACAGATATGCTGATCAAGGTAACTCGGGTTTTCTTACCGCACCGGTCTAGTTGCTATCGCATAGAGTTTTCGCTCAAAGTGTTATTCGAATTTCTCTGCAGTCTGAGAAACTGAACTACGAGCGACTATGAGCCCGAAGAATGCCAGCCAAGCTTCCAAGTGTGACTTGTGTTATTTGTTGTGAAGATGAATCTTAACGGTAACACTCAGATGTGAATCTTAACGGTTACCAATATATACACATATATATAACTGTAAACCCGATCGAGAAAATGATGAAGGAGGTCGGACTGGATCCGGTAAGAGAAGAGAGCGCCACTTCACATGAAAACTTGTTGTCAAGCGTGTCTATATGTGCATTTGGAGGCTTGTTTTAATGATTCCTGAAATAATTATCACTAATCTCCAAGTTTAAAAAAAAAAACTATAAAAATCACATCCCTCAAAAGTAAAACGTAGCCTTGTGGCTATATATATATATTAAAAACTATATTATATAGTTGCATGTTCAAAAGATACCAGAAGAAAAAAAAGAAATAATTGAAATTAGATATGGCAGAATCATTTCTTTTGTAACCATCATTTCAGCTTTTGATGAAGTGATTAAGCAAACAATAAATGATTTACAGTTGCATTTACGTTGGTGCGAAATCAGAAAGTTAGGAGACAAAGTGAATCCGTATTCAAATAAAAGTGGAAAATCCGCATAAATACCTAAACAGTTGATTTGACAATTTAGTACCTCAACTATTGTATTATTCTAATTTAGTACCCAAACTGAAATAATAGAATTAGTTAGAATTTAGAAATATCGATATTTATGTAATAAGAAGAGTCTTTAGTTAAATGATTTTTTTTATGGATAAATATCAACCCTTGTTTGTTTTTATTATTATTTTTGTTGCTGTTTCTTTAAAACGAAAGGTTACCAAGATGGATAAATATTGTCGAGTTAATTGCGACAAAAACCAAATTAGAAGTGGACATTCCGTATAAAAATTTAATATCTAATAGTATCTAAATAGAATTCCGTATAAAAATTTCTTTAGAAAAAAAAATAATTTTTGATGTAAATCGAATTTGAATCAAACCCAAATTCGACATGAAGTTAATTGAACCTTAAACCAAAATTAATGTATATGCCTAATGTACGATATGTATTGCTTGAATGTAAGATTACGTGTGTGGCATGGGATTTTGGATTTTATGATTTAAACATTATAGTGTCATGAAACTTGATTAATTGCAAAAAATGTAATTAATGACAATCAAATGATTTTATAGAGCACATTAATAATTTTGATGTTTGCTTAGCCTTTTTATTAAACTGAAATGATTGTTAGTTTGGTAATAGGAAGCAATAATCTATTTTACACCGGAGATTGTCCCATCCGCAAGGCATCGTCCATCATTTCTAATTTTTATTTCACTTTCTTTTTCTTTTTCAGTAGTATGTTTCAAGCGACTTTAATGTTACTTTACAGTTTTCTCTCTCTCAATATATATATATATATATAATTGATAAAAAGAGAGAAAATAAGAAACTTTAATGTATACACTAATTCCTGTTAATTATATTTGAATAATTTAAAACAATCAAACCTAACCCATATATATATATATATACACACACACACATACACACACTCTTACTACAAATTAGCTACAAGCTTGTCTGTTACACACACACACACACACACACATATGACATATATATATATATGTCTTCTAAGTTACCTTTACTTACAGGGGATGCCTCTACGTGATATCTCTCTGCTGTTCTAATTAGGCATCTGATGCGGTCGTCGTCTTCCATGGATCCATTCGATTTGTTCCGCAGAGGTTCGTGCCCTTTTCCTGCATCTTCCCGCTCTTTGGCTGGCTTGATGAATTTCGTTTTAAAAAAAAAAAAATTGTGGAAGAATGTGAGATTATTCTCTACCTTTTTTCTAGTTATAGATTTCTCTATTTATATATATATATATATAATATCCCTTTTATGGTTGATTTAAATTAATCAGAAGAATTTTAATCTAATGTAATATTTCTCTTCATTTTTTTGGTTAAATCTTCACTAAAAGTTGTGATAGCTTTTTTGAATTTGTATATCTTAAATATTTGATTGTGCACGACATATGTTTTCGGATCTATATAGGTTAATTACATTTTCTTCCATATTTAAATCAATTTTAGTTATTTTTATTTTTATCTAATATTTTTCACTCTGGAAAAAAAAAACAGACGAACAAATGAAGAAGGGCATGTGATTTTGATTTTTATCTAACAATACATTATTGAGATTTTCTCTCTCAATCTTTCCCTTATTATTTTGTATATATTAAATATTCCTTTTAGACTGTTTATTTTCGAAGTTTCTCTCTCTTCCTGTTTTTTGAAATCCCTTTTTTATTTCCGTAAAAGATTTTCAATTTGAGTTTTTTTTTGTAAAAGTTTGCAAATTAATATTGGAAAAAAGAGTTTTCAACGTAAAAAACTTCCTTTGGGAGGAAAACAGAAGCGTCGAGCTTAAGTACAAGTCTCTTCCTCTGTTTCCTCAGAACATTCTCATTCTCAGACAATGGAGAAGAAGGCGCAGGATTCTTCACTGCCAACAGTTCTCGACTTCTTCAGAACGGAAGAACTCGAGACGAGCTCGTCAAAGCCAGATTTTGAAGAACAGGGCGCGAAGAACGGCGCGTCGAGGTTACGTGAAATCCTTCGGCTTCTGAGGATTCGATCGAAGAAATCGATGTCGAATTTGAATCCCTTCAGCAACAACAACAGTGCCCTGAAGAATTCTATGAGGAGATGCAGCAGCATGAGGGAAACCATCGGATTCGACTGTAATTTCGTGTTCAATGATGCTCGGTTTCATCTGGTTTCTCCCCGAAGGATCTTCACCCTCGCCGAGCTTCAATCCGCCACGGACAATTTTGCTTTCGGTCGGTCTCTCTCTCTCTCTCTGAAGTTTGGAGCTTTTGGTTCGAAATAACTTTATACATGTCTGAGAAGCCGAGAAAACAAGATCTTGGACGCGTACAAGTGTTTTGAGTGTCTTGATTGGGACAATGTCGATACTGTAATTTGCATAACAATACACACGATTGTAGATTTATGATTGAACCGTATGCATTGTTTCTTCTTTTTGTGCAGATAATCTTATCGGAAAAGGCGGTTACGCAGAGGTGTTCAAGGGACGACTGCAGAACGGGCAGCTCGTGGCGATAAAACGGCTGACACGAGGGACGACAGACGAGATCATCGTAGATTTTCTGTCCGAGATGGGGATGATGGCGCATGTGAACCATCCCAACGTAGCAAAGCTTTTCGGGTATGGCATCGAAGGAGGAATGCATCTCGTTCTCGAATTGTCGCCTCACGGGAGCTTAGCTTCCATGCTCTATGGTCAGTTTTCGGTTTTGATTCATATAGAATCAGAGAATTGGAATAGAGAATAACAGTTACTCGAATTCGGATTCTCTGAAAACAAGAACGATTTTTGGTAGGGTCAAGGGAGAAGATCGATTGGGGCGTCAGGTACAAGATTGCGTTAGGGACGGCCGAGGGATTGGTGTATCTTCATAGAGGATGCCAGAGAAGGATCATACACAGAGACATAAAAGCTGCAAACATTCTTCTCACACAAGACTTTCAGCCTCAGGTGTGTATATATATATCATTATCCACAATGCCCTTTTCGCTCGGTCTGTGCTATCAAAATCTTGCATCATTTTAAGGCTATACCGAAATCTCTAATCTTGTTTTTGAGCTCAGATTTGCGATTTCGGGCTTGCGAAATGGTTACCGGAACACTGGACGCACCATATCGTTTCCAAGTTCGAAGGCACATTCGGGTTTGTATGCAGGCTTGATCTATGTCATCCCTTTACATAATTTTGTCCGAAGGGTTTTGAGGTTTAGGGTTTTAGGGTTTGGTTATACAGATGACAAAAAGATCCCACTCTTCTATTTCTCCGATTCAGATATCTTGCCCCAGAGTACATGACTTATGGAATAGTAGACGAGAAGACCGACGTTTTCGCCTTTGGTGTACTCTTGTTGGAGCTAGTCACTGGACGTCGAGCTCTCGATTACTCGAGGCAAAGTCTTGTTCTATGGGTGAGCACGTTCTCTTCTTCGGGTTTTCTCTCTCTAGAGATTCAACATATATATGTTCTTCTCAATCTTGAGACGATATCAGGCAAAACCCTTGATGAAGAAGAATAAAATTAGAGAGCTGATCGATCCATCTCTGGCGAATGCCTACGACACAAGACAGATGAAGCTCGTGCTTTTAGCTGCCTCGCTATGTATCCAGCAATCATCGATTCAGAGGCCTCAAATGAGTCAGGTAACTCTCTCGTTCTTCCGGAAACCCTAAATCTCTCACGACTCATTCCTTGTTTCGAAAGTAACAGATACCGCCCTTTGTTCGAGAATAACGACTGTCTTCATCCTCATTGCGATTGTCATATAGGTTTTGGAGATCCTCAAAGGCAACTTGAACGATCTTAAGTGCATAAAGAAATGCAGGGTTTCGTTCTTTCGCAAGGCCTTTCGCGACGAAATCATAGTTACAGAAATGCATGATCACAAGTCACCAAAGATCTGAAAATGTTTCTGAAATCTTGAAGATCAAGAACTCCATGAGCTCAGGACATTGTTGATGCAACCTGAGATTCAGACATTGAGCTTCAAGAAACAGTGGAAGCTTCAGATGTCTGAACGTCTCCACTCAGTAAGGAGAAGGAAATAGCACTGAGGGCTCCTCTTTTCCCACCAATTTTGGAAATTTAGAATTCATAGCCATATATTCTAAATGCCTTGGCAAATTATTGGAGAAATCTAACGTCATGTAGAAACGAGTTGATAGAAATTTCCATCGACAACAAATCAGTAGAGATTGTTTCGTGATCGAAGAAAGCATACACAAATACGAGAAATTATATTTATCAAATACGGATTTTCACACTTAGCTGGTGACAGAAGTATCAGGGCCTGTGATGTGAAATCTTCCTCTCGAGTTCATCCTTCTTGGCTCCGACGACCCTATCAACTTCTCTGCCTCTCTTTACCAGCACAAATGTCGGCATTGCCTGCACCCCGAATTCCCGAGCTACATCCTGGAATCATCCGTATCGACACGAGTTAATTATTTCTTCTCACCCGGAAACCCGAAAATGCAGAAACAGATAACGAAATCAATCTCGATCAACACTCATCATCATCATCTGAGCACATATTCGTCCCCATACGAATACGATACATGAAATACAATGCGAATTTGATATAATTCTGGTTCTTTAACAGCCAAAATGGTTAAGTTTGCATATTGATAGTCATTGATCAAGGAGTTGCTTCAAACTTCAAATGATGTTGTTTCGGTTTTATTGATGAATGCAGAAAGGTTATCATATGACAAACAGAATCTACAAATTTATGAACGAAACGAGTTTTTCGCCAAAATCTGTATCAAACAAATCAGAACATAAATCGAGAAATCCGGGTCGTGAGGGATCCATCCATGCTAAAATGACCAAGAAAGCTGAAAACTTTGTGGGATTTTATCCGAACCCAGATCGCAAATCAGGAATCTGCAAGGGAGAAAACGAAGAATTTCACCCGATCATACACTTACAGGAACTTCGTCGACATCGATTTTGACGAACTCAACGTCAGTGAACTTCTCAGCCAATCCCTGAAATACCGGCGCCATCATCTTGCAGGGACCACACCACGAAGCCGTGAAATCAATCACCAACTTCCCTCAGTTCAAACCCATCACAGAAAAACGCAATTGAATCTCAGATAACCCTTAAAAAAACCCTAGTTCCGTTCAAATTGAACATGGATCCAGATGAACACATACCAGTTTCGACGATTCCTTGATCTCGTTGAAATAAAGCTGCCACCGAGCCGAGGAACTGAACTTCGAGACTCGATCAGATTCCGATCCAGTCTCGGATTCTGAAGCTGCACCACCCAGAAAGGACGAGAGAATTCCTCCCATTGTTTTCTTTTTTCTCTCTCTCTATATTTTCTTCCAGAGGAAACGAAGTTAGGCTAGGCAGAGAGCAGAATCGCTGCGCTTTTAAAAAAAAAAGCCGCCAGCTCTCTTGTACACGTCGTGCCGTCATACGTTCCTACATTCGCACGTCCTGCTGTTTAGTGTTTAGTTATACGAAACTCGTGTCGTTTCATTAGATATAACATAATACAGTTTTGTAATATGGTCTGTTCACTGTTTTTTTTTTAAACCGACATCCTAGATCAGACTAATATTGCGGTCGAGAGTCACTCATGTGTTTTGATTATAAGCTATTTTTCTAAACTTGAGATTCAGAGCGAGACAAGACAAGACGTTTTGCGTTTTGGTTTCACCGGTTGAATTACCTGACCATGGACTGTTTTCTCTCTATTTTCTCAAGTTTTCCTTCTTTTTTTTCTCAGCAACCAAACACTTGTTTGGAAGTACTTGTACTTTATGATGGGGAATGTAGGAAGATGGTGATCACTTTCCACGTGAAAGCTCAATCTTGAAGATTAACGTATTCATTGGATAGATACAATTTTCATTCAAGTGTCATGTGTGAATGAAAACAATACAAAGTACATAATCATCCACAGCCATTACATATAAAAACAACTCATGAAATACAATAAACTCATCGTACCATGTCTCAAGAATACAGAAAGTCGAAGAAATTCCTTTGATGAGACCGTAAGAATATAGCAAGACAGCTGGAAGAACAAATGTATCTATCAGTGTCGTCATGTACCTTTAGAAATACGAGGAATTTGCAACGGAGTCGACACACGTTACAACGCGGCCGAGTGCTATGGCTGTTCGGAATCACTTCAAACTTGAGCTCTCCCGTCGTCACTATGCTCCCCGGTGCGAAAGACGCCAAGTCTTCGGCCACACATCCCGTGTGGAAAGTGGTTCCACACTCATCACAAGAGTAGAACCAATTCTTCGGATTCATTTCTTCCTCGCAAATCTCGCACCAGTATCTGCCGATATCCGCGCTTTCGCCATAGCACAAGAAAAGGGGATGTTCGTCGTTTTTGTGGTTCTCCTTTCTTGGCAAAACCGCGCATTTGTAGTCCAACACGAAGTTACAAGCGGTATCAATGCATCCGAGATGACGATTCACCGCTCTATTAGCAGGGATACGGATAAATACTTCTCTGCCGCAAGCCCCGCAAGGATAATTATAGTTCTTGAGTTCATTATTGCATATCAAGGAATGACCACCATGCTTGAATGGCTCGGAAAATGAAATGCATGCTACTTCTATTCTATGGTGCTTCGCCTCGTACCTAAAACCAGTAGAGCACTTTCCACAAGCGGTGCAAAAAAACATTTTCGGGGAATCCTTGGAATCGGTCACCAGTGTTAACCGCTCGCTAGATAGCACGTGACGCTTCTTGCGAGGGAGATTGGCGCATGTTTCGTGAAGGAAAAAGCCGCAATCATCGCAGTGGTAGAACGGATCGGTGTATAGGGGACGGATACACGCATTGCAGCGTATGTTTTCCTCACAAAAAATGCCCTCCTTGTTTAGGATAAGATTGTGTTCTTCATGACTGAAATGCTTTATTACATCCTCGTCTATCTGCTTGAATGGCTCGATATCTTCACTTTCTTCGAATTCTCCTTCTAACTCTCTCCCATCCCACACATCATAGCTGGTTGCGCATCTCGAATGAACCGTATAATCACGGCAGACGGAGCAAGAATATGCCCCGTACGACCAATCAATCTTTTTGAAACATACTCCACAATCACGATTCGGATTCTCGGTTACACCGAGAGGGTTAATGTAGGAAATACGGTGATCATGGCGGTTGATGTTTATAACGCGGGGTAAATCTATGCACTCTATGTGGATCATGAAATCGCATTGGAGACATAAATAAGGACTTCGATCACCATTCTCCCCGCAAACATCGCAGGTAAAAGAGACGTGTCTCGGCACGAGGTTGAGTTTGTGAGCATGGGTTTTAAGGTTTAAAAAAGAAAACGGGGGAGGATTTTTGGCGCACTTTATGTCCAGATTGAACTTGCATGTGGAACAATGATAAAGCCGTTGATCCGGGAATCCATCCCCGCACAGGCCACATTTTCCGTCAGTATAATCGGGCGGTTTACTCATCAAGAGGGTGAGAGGGTGAAGAGGGTGAGAGGGGTGGTTCAGCTCCGGCGAGAGCTCGGAACAATCCCTATGGAAACATAATCCACACTGGAAGCATAAATACCGGTACGGATTGACCAACTCCGTACAAACATGACACGGCTGGTAGGTTCGTTTATCTGGGACTAGCGAGATAAAGTGGTGATGGGCCTTAGGGTTTTCAATGACAAGAGATGGCGGGTCTAAGGCACAACCTATGTCCATTTCGAAGTCACAAACCGAGCAACGATAGCCGACATCCCCTTTTATGACATGACCGCATAAAGAGCACTCGTTCCTGTAAGTCATACCCGAGACGAGGCGGAGAGGAGGATGGCCGGGCTGATGAGAAGGGATCTCTGGTCGGGATTCCGCACATTCCTTGTGCATGAAGAAATCTCCGTAACACATCTTGCAGCGGTAGCCGTCCTCATTGTAAACTCCTCCTCTAGAGCAACCTTTGCACTCGACCCTAGATCCGCCCGAGCGGTACAAAGGGTGTTTATGCGTGGGCAGAGTCACTGATGTATAATCCATGTTGCCAAACAAACAGAAATATCGCTTTGAGTTTTAGGTTTATGTGATTTAGTTGAAATTTTGATAATGATTTATAGAAAACGGAGCAAAAAGTTTCGACCTTTACGCCATTCTTTTCTTCTCCACTACAAATACCCTTCTTCTTTTCTTTTCCTTGACTTTAAAAAAAGTATTACTTTATTCCTTTCTTTGTTTTTGTCGAATAAGAAATTCCTCTTTCTCATATTCCAAGTCCAAGATATTGGATCATCTCCTCTGTTTAATTTTTGTTAACTTTCATTTAAGTTCCTAACAATAGTTTTTTTTAATTAAAAAAAGCGACAAAAAATACAAAATTAATCGTTTTTATACAAATATACACACGGCGATCTAAAGAGCTTGAAACAATGAATACACACATATCGATTAAGAAAACAATAGATGAGAGCTGCACCACCGCATAATAATTCACACATATATATATATATATATATGAATGTATGTAGATGGGTTTAAAATCTTAATGTTTTTGTGTGGCCTTGTGGTACTTGTCCTTCACCCAGCGAAACCCTAAGCTTGAGCCATGCTTGATCTTCTTGAACCCTGAAGAAGCCACGGCTTTTGTCTTCTCGAAACCTTGTCCCATCTTCTCTTTGTACTTCGCCGTGTTCGACGACGGTGCTCCGCCGCCTGCGCCGCCTCCACCGCGGCCGGAGCCGTCGTTGTCCCACTGGTCGGCCCATGATGCTCCTCCGTCCATGGTCACGATGATCCTACTAAGCTTCGGAGACAGAAAATATCGGATTTTGTTTTTTTTTTAGCGTGGGCGAATCGCAAATTCTTCGATATTGGCTTAGCAGATGAGATTTATGTATAAATACACACGCGATGACACTGTACACGTGTTCGTGGAGAAGTCGGTCCAATTTGGGTAATTTGTATGGTGGACTTTGAATTTGGTTTTTGGTCCTTTTGCGTGGTCCATCTTTGATTTAGCAGACAAAAATGACTTTGTTATTCAATTGTTTATAATATGATTTTCATGAACATGCATCCATATATATATTCTCTAGAACTTGAATCGGAGAAATAGTTTATAAACGTTTTTGGTTAGTTGGAGGATCCATTAGATATTTTTATTTTATCTGAGTTTTGAAGAAGACTGTATTAATGATGGAACCATATTGACTTGCATGTAATTCGGCTTTTTTTTTTCTTTTAAATTAAAAGATATAAAATTTGAAAAATACTTATAAAGGATTTATTATGTATGTAATTGAATATTTTTTACCATAAATAATTCCTGAGGAAAAGTAATTAACTTTTTTGTTATTCAATGTATGGCGAAAAAAAAATAAAAGTTCTAGAAGAATCTAGAACAGTTTTTATTTTTTATTCGCCGTGGACTTCGCCGTCTTCCCCCCGTGAGCGCTGACGGTTAATTACGATATCAATTTTAAATGCTTTGAAATGCTGAGGGTACATGTTTAAGTATTTTTATATTCTAAGAATATATACATATATATCTATATATTATCCAATCAAATATAAATATAAAATGTTAGAAGAGAAGATAATATAAAGTTACTAAGATTATATAACGATTTGCTGCAATACAACTCTTGTTTAAATGAGAGCAGAAACCAATTCAATCGGTTTCCAATGGTACGAGATTTATTTATTTATTTATTTATTTATTTGAGGTTAATGGGCTACATGGGCTGGGCTCATAAAGCCCAAAACTCTATTGGACTAAAGAAACCTATATTCACATATTTATGGGCCCCATTAAACCCAATCAAAATTTGAAAACTATAATTGTGATAAAGCATGCAACTTGATGAATATCAACCACCCACAAATCTGTATAGACCAAGGAACCTCGAGAATCTACTTGACATAAAGAAAATGAAGATGGTGGGTTTCCGCATTATCTTTAAATTTTTTTTTATAGAAAAATGATACAAAAAAGGCAAAATATATGTAGGAAAAGGAGGAAAAAAGGTTTTATCTTTATTCTTTCAATAAAATATTTAAATATGATACTCTTGAGTTTTTTTTTTTCTAACCAGAAAATAAAACTATCCAACGGGAAACGTATAAAGACACAGCTCGGTGACACCGGAGGAAATAACCTACGAATTAGTATATGACACGTTGCACACGTTATCGATCACGTGGCAGTTTCTCGCTTTATAAAAATACACACAAGCAGCTCACATCCATTCGCCACATACTTCTTCTCTCTTCTTTGCATTTTGCACGGTTCAAAGATTCCCTCTGTGAAAGGGCAGAACTGTAATTATTGGACTCATGGCAGCCGGAAGCTCTAGCTCGTCGGAGACCGGCGGCGGCGGAGTAAGAAAGGAGATCATGCTGTTCGGCGTCAGGGTTGTGGTTGATCCGATGAGGAAGTGTGTGAGTTTGAACAATCTGTCTGAGTATGAGCAACCGGAGGAGATCCCGAAGAAGATTGGCGGCGGAGATGGTGATGGAGAAGGGAAGAACAAGGCGGATTTCGCCGTCGGCTACGCCTCCGCCGATGAAGCTGTCCCGATTTCTTCTTCTTCCGGTGGAAATCGCGAGCGTAAACGAGGTATTTTTTTCCCCTCCAATCTTAGATGAAACGATCTCTGATCTTTGTTGTGTGATCCGATCGGTGATTGATTCGTAGGATCTCGATGGAACTGTTAGCGATTATAATCGGTTTCATTACTTTGCTTTCCGGATTGTAGAAATTAATTGTCCAGAGACTCGAGTTTAGGAGAGGAAATCGGTGCACGTTGTTTTCATTTTCAAATTTTTTGAGGGAAAAAATGATTGTTGTAATTTGGTTGAGAAACTTCATGGGTTTACCATTTTCCGAAAGTAATCGATCCCGTGGCCAGTCAGGAAAGCAAAAAAAAAAAAAGTTGTTTGCTTTGTCGATTTGGCTTTGGAATGATCGGATGATTATTCACTGTGATGTTTGTGACAAATCAGGAATTCCATGGACTGAGGAAGAGCACAAGTTGTTCTTGCTTGGGCTTCAGAAGGTAGG